TCCTTTCTGTCTTCTGCAACCTTTAGCACACTGCAGCACATCGCTGAGCCTAGGGGTATCAGGGTATGGTCCAGGCAGATGAAGCAAGCTAGTGGTTTTAGGGTTTGGAAGGATTCATGTGGATTGACATCACCCTCTGTAATGTGTAATGTAAAGCAAAGCCTGATTTTACTTCCTCTTTTAGATTGAGTTTTAGAAGGAAATCTTTTTTTTTTTTTTTTTTGTGGTACTGGGCTTGAACTCAAGACCTACACCTCGAGCCTCTCCCCCAGCCCTTTTTTGTGATGGGTTTTTTCAAGATGGGGTCTCACGAACCATTTGCCCGGTCTGGCTTCGAACCTTGATCATCCTGATCTCTGCCTCCTGAGTAGCTAGGATTACACATGTGAGCCGCTGGTGCCCAGCCAGAAGGAAATCTTTTATGTAGACATAAAAGTCCATTATGATTTGCACTTTTCACTTCAAAGTTTACTCCATGTGTGAGTGTGGATAATATTATTACAAAATAGTGTCTGGGTAAGATTTTTCATGCCTTCCTTCATGGTGTCATGGCTTTAAAAAAAATCTTAGTAGAATTTGTCTGCAAATCTATACACCTTCTACAAAGAATTATTTTGTATGAAATTCTTTGCATTGAAATTCTGTAACTACAGAGGTTCCTGTACATACTTTGAGAAAGACAGTTCATGATAGATTTTGAAAACAGTTAAATGGGATGGGCAACTCAAAGAGCAGAACTGGAACGTGAAGAAAGATTTAGTAATAATGATGTGCTTGTGTTGTAATTGTTTTGCTCCCTCAGGAAATACTATTAGGTTTACTATTCCAATAACAATTTATAAAATCCAAACGATGCCTGTTTTTTTGTAGAAGATTAGTGAATGTTAGCTACTCATATGAGGAGTCAACAGGGGTTTCTCCTTTAAAAGGACATTTGTCCTTCAGTGGGGGTTGGAATATACCTCATGTCCCCAGTTGAATCTGATGCCTGAATTTGGTCTTATGCTTATTAGTAGGACTAAACTCCCACCCTTTGTCCAGTGTTCACTGAGCACTGAGTGGTCTCGTGAATTGAAGACCAGTCACTCCAAAATCACGTTTCGTTGTCTAGTCAGACATGTGTCATGTGCTTTGCACATTGCATCCGTCACAGGAAGTAGTAGAGTGCCATGCTATATCTGTGCATCTTCACTGCTCCTGTACAGCCTAATACAGGGCTTGGCAAACAGTGGCCTGTAGATGGTTTGAAGAAAGCTTTTATTTTTTTAATTTTACTTTATTTTTGAATTAACATTCATTAATAATATGAGGGGGATTTCATTGTAATAATTCCATTCATGCACATAATGTACTTTGAACAAGTTCATCCCTTCAGTTATATTCCCCCCTTTCTAACACTGTTTGAATTTCAGTATGATACATGAAGCACTTTAATAGAGCTTACATTTTAAATAGATAAAAGATTAAAAGAATAATGCTATTTAATGGCACATGAAAGTTACATAATTCAAAGTTCAGTGTTCATAAATAAGAGTTTGCTTGCTTGCTTCCTTTTGACAGGACTGGGGATTGAACTCAGAACCTAGTGGTTGCTAGGGAGATGTGTTACTGCCAGGCCTTTGAGTGTTGGCTGTTTTGGAGATAGGGTCTTGCTTTATGCACAGTTTGACCAGGACCTCGATCCTCCTATTTGTGCTTCCCCACATGGCTGGGATGACAAGCATGGCCAACGCATGCACCCATTGGTTGAGATGGAGTCTTGCCTGAAACTGCGATCCCTGCCAGGCTCAGCCCTCTTTTTTGGCTGTATTGAGATTTAAACTCAGGACTGTACACTTGCTAGGCAGGGAGTTTTTGTTTGTTTGATGCTGTTACTGGGAGTTTTGGTTGGGGGCCTCTGCTCTTGCATTCACATGAGAGAAGATTTCAAGCAAGGTGTAAAATGTAGTGAAAGTAACACCAAAGTTTATTAACAAAAGGAAGAATATGTTCCCCTAGAGGAGTGGGCCATCTCAGAGAGTAGGTGCATTTTTTTTACATCCCAGCTTTAGTAGGTTTAAGAGGAAGTCTTTAAAGAATCCCACCTAACTCAAGATTGATAGTTGGATTTTTTTTTTTTTTTCAGTTTTTTAAATCTCTACTGTGTGCTTTTCTTAACCATGTATCACCTGATCAAATTCCACTGGAAGGAGGAGAGACAGTTTACAATTACACCAAGATTAAAGTAGCATGCTAAGGTCGTTCTGGCCCATCCAGACCAGTTTTAATCACCTTTATCTTGCCTTGCCTTGGACTCCTGTAAAAGGTCCTAAAACCTTTTACAGATTTTTTAACACATTAAGACATCACTAATTATATTAATAAATTCCACCACAATCCTTCTGTGACATGCATTTACCCTCTGGTTTTGTCCTTAGTCTCCTTATTTCTACTTTGGAATAATCATTTGCTTTTAGGATAAAACCTTATTTTACCATGTATAAATAAACCTTTTTATTTAGAACATGTCCCTTACAACTTCTCGTATCTCTTCATGCTCTACCCTATTCCATCAGTTGTATCTCAGCATAAACCCTAACACAATCCTGTGAGATGCCTTAACCCTCCTCGTTTTGCTCTCGTCTCTCCAATTCCATTTGGAAACAATCCTAGGTGATTAGTAACTTTCAGAGACTAAGCTATATGTCATCAGGCATTGGGGAGTTTTTGGCCTTGCACAGTCAGACTGAGCCTGTCATTTGGGCTCTAAGATCTGTTGGTCAGCAAGAAGCAAGACCCTGTTGCCTGTCACAAACCATTCATTAAAGCTAGCAAGCTAGGATGTGATTCGTTATCAACATCTAAGCCTTGGTTCTCAGCCATCAGGTTTTCTGGTTCCCTGCCCAGCCCCTGTATCAGAGCTGCCTCATTCATTTTCATCTGTGCCTGCTTCCTTCTCCCAGTGGCAGAGTTGAGTGACTGGCAGACCTTGTGGCTCACAAGGTAAGCCATTTACTCTTTGGCACTTTATGATCTACTACTGCCTTCTAGCCACTGAGTAGAAGGCCACGGGGGGGGGGTGTGGTGTGGGTGTGTGTGTGTGTGTGTGTTACTCAGGCAAGTCAGAGGAGTATGAGCTGGGGGTGGGGCTGGGAACTGAAGGTTCAGGGGAGCTGTTGGCCCCGGAAGGGGAAATCCAGAAATACAAGATTTTGGAAGGTGGGAAAGAATGCCTCCCAGATCCCTGCCTCAGCTTTAAGGAAAAGGGGTTGTCTAGATGAGTGTACATGCTTCTGAAGTAGAAACCAGATACAGGGGGAACAAAAAGCATTAAACATAATTTTCCCATAAGAGATAATCTCTTTAACCCTTGCATTGAAAACTTTTAAACTACTGCTGCCATGAAATTGATTTGCATGGAATTTTCCAGAAATATATCTTTTACTTAAATTGAAATGCTTGCACCTTTATGCGTAACTATTCACATGAGGGGGAGCCAGGGAAATGCACTTTAAAAGCTCTCCTTGCTGTATTATGGACTGTAGACTCACTCACGCTGCACTGACATTAATTTTTGACTCAGAAGATCTCTTAGGTGTGAAATCTACCTCTTGATGGAACATGGCCTTTCTGTTCTTAATCTTCTTTGTACAGAGGGTATAATGTGCATTTAATTTTAGGCAGTTCTGTAGTTAGGAACTTTAGATCTCTGTATCTGAAGTCAGTATATTGGAGACTTTGTCAGTTTTTGTTTTGTTGTTTTTTGAGTAGGAGAAACAGTGAGGGTGGGGGTTTTTCCCCTCCTCCAGGTTATATACCATTGTATTCAATAAGCCTGTATTATATTGGAATATTAGAGAACTAGGCACATCACTCTGTCATTTAACTAGACTTGTGACTTTGCCAGAGACATCTGATCCTCTTTGGCATTTGATGGGCTTAGACTTTTGCACCTATAGACCTTTTAGCTGGCTTCTGCCTCCCAGACACCACACAAAGTCTTACACAACCATAGGGGAATCAGGCTGATGGTTTTTATACTACATGCAGGTGTTGCAATAGAGTCTGGTATTTCTGCAGTAACACAGGTGGAGATTATGTCAATTCTTTTTTTCTTCATGTGAATTGTAGGCCTTCCATTTACACTTAGAATGCCAAACTAGAATGTATCACAATAATCACATGCTTACAAGGCAAGGGTGTATGAGTTTATATATTCGATTTAGGATAGAGCGATTGTAAAATTCAAAGGTTAATAGCATCTTTCTTAAAAGATGTTAGCATAAAATTAAAACAAAGATTTGAGGATAAATAACTTGACCATCATAGAGAATTTCATTACTATGAACTGAGTGCTCAGAGTAACAACTGTGTTTCCTCAGTTAAAGAGTTCCACGCTACTGACTTTTGTAGCTGATCACCTGTTTCTGGTCACCTAAGGATGACCTGGCACAAGGCCACAAGGTGGCTAACATGGGTCAAACCATGATTGTAAGAACTGACTCAGGTGTTCAGAGTTCAGTGAGAAAAAAGAGACCATTGGAATCACAAAGAAATAAGCTACCCATTGTACATCCTGGTTCCTTTTTTCTTTTTCCCCTTCTTTTGGGTAACTAAAAGTGTGTCTCCAATTTATATTTAAAGGAAGAACACAGTTTCCTGTGGTGAAGCATTGCTGTAATTTTAAGATTTATTTTAACTGAAACAGCAACATGAAATTGTGAGTGTTAGTGTGACATCATGCAATGTTTCGATACATCCATATGGCCTACTTTTCAGTACTTACTGTCCACACAGTCAGAACATGAATTTTGAACTTTTTGCCTGAGGTCAATCAAGGAAATTGCCAGAATCCCAAGTGTTCTATTGCCCTTTTATTTTCAGGTGACTGGGGTTGAGGAAGAAAGATCATTTTCATGATCCATGGTGGTTTTTACTATTTTTTATGTTCCCTTATTGAACTTGTACCTTTCTCAAATAATAAGGATTTTTTGTTGTTGTTGTTTGTTTTTAACATGCAGGTTGAAAGTATTGTTGACAAAAGGAAAAACAAAAAAGGGAAGACAGAGTATCTGGTTCGGTGGAAAGGCTATGACAGTGAGGATGACACATGGGAGCCTGAGCAGCACCTGGTGAACTGCGAAGAGTACATCCATGACTTCAACCGCCGCCACAGCGAGAAGCAGAAAGAGAGTGGCCTGGCCCGCACCAACAGGACCTCTCCCAACAATGCCAGGAAACAGATCTCCAGGTCGACCAACAGCAGCTTTTCCAAGACCTCTCCTAAGACCCTAGTGATTGGCAAAGACCACGAGTCCAAAAGCAGTCAGTTGTTTGCTGCCAGCCAGAAGTTTAGGAAAAACACATCTCCATCTCTTTCAAGCAGAAAGAACATGGACCTGGCAAAATCAGGTATCAAGATACTTGTGCCTAAGAGCCCCATTAAGAGCAGGACCTCAGTGGATGGCTTTCAGAGCGAGAGCCCTGAGAAGCTAGACCCCATTGAGCAGAGTCCAGAGGACACGGTGGCACCAGAGGTAGCAGCAGAGAAGCCTGTTGGAGCTTTGTTGGGTCCTGGTGCAGAACGAGCCAGAATGGGGAGCAGGCCCCGAATACACCCACTAGTGCCTCAGGTGCCTGGCCCTGTGACTGCAGCTATGGCCACGGGCTTGGCAGTTAATGGAAAAGGTAAGTGTCTAGGTGGGCTGCCACAAGCTATTGCTGTGCACCATGGGCAATGACCCTAAAAGTATGGATCCTTTATATAAACATCGGGTTGTACTGGTGTATCCAGGACCTTTGAGAGAGTGTGCCAACTTTTTTCTTTTCTTGAAGCCTTTGACATTTATCTCTTTAAGTGAGCATTAGCTATCCATTTGCAACCAATGGCTTTGTTGCCATATTGACTGGCTTGCTTTAAACAATGCCTCACTATAAGCAGGCGGTGTTGGTTTGTTTTTGTTGTTTGTTTGTTTTCCACCTATATAGTTCAGCATGGCCAGTATAGATTTAGAAGCCAGGCTGCTTCTAAATAAGCCATGCTTATTTGCATATCCAGTTGAGTAAATAGAAATGGTGTGCATGAAGGCATAGTTTACCTAATGGAGCTTCAGGTATTTGGTTGTTACCCTGTAATCTGGGATCCCAGATCCTGCTGCTTCTTGTTTGAGTAGGAGTGCACTCAGCCCAGTGCACATCATGGCATGCTATCCCCACTGGACCGGAATGGCTGTATCTTTATTGATGACTTAGGGCAGGAACTGTGCCACAGGTAAGGACTGAGACAGAGGTTGGCAACCCCTAGCCTGTGGGACAGATTACACCCACTGCCTTGTTTTATATGGCCTGCAGGCTAAGAGTGGGTTTTACATGCTCTAATAACTTAAAAAAAAAGTTGAGTCTATTTGCTAATGTGAAAATATAATAAAACATGGTTTGTGTGTATGTCCGAACATAGAATTTGATTGGAACACAGCTGCATTCCTTCACATACATATTACACAGCTGTGACCCTTCTCCCAGGGCAGAACTGAGTCTTTGCTATGGAGATGGTGTGGCTAAGTTTATTGGTCTGTGCTCTAGAAAGTAATAGTTTTGAGACTTGATTTATTTTTTAACTTTTAGGAGGAATATAAAAGCCTTCAGGAGCTCTGTGATCCTCCTTTTGTAGTCCACAAAAATTACTTACATGTACATTTTTATGGGAGGGAGCGCATAGTATTCAAAACTTTGACCCAACAAGGTTGAGAAACCCATTCCTTTGCTCTGAACCCAGAAGTGCAGCTTTGATTGGTTGCCACTTCCTATCTCTTGCTCCCCAAAATGAACTGGACTCTTCTTGTATTTCTCCATTCTGCTTTCACAAGGGAAACTCGCCCTCAGCAGAAGCCTCCATTCCTTTACATACGGAGGGCAGTGGCTCCTATTTAAATAAGTATTTGGTGTCTTCCTTTTTTAAAAATGCCTATAATGTAGCTGTGGTTAAAACCAAAAGGGACATGTAAGCATAGGGTCTTAAATTGCTTTAAATTGCTCTGTGGATTTTGTTAGGTTGGTGAGAATACTCCAAAATCCTCTGAGACCATCTTTCTCTAAACCACTGTTATCTTTATTTATATGCCTCTTGCTTACTTCTTTCTGGTCAAAGAGCACACCCAAACTTTATGTATTCATAAAAATATAGTCTCTACTGAGAGAGAAGATAGAAGCCAGATGGAAATATTTTTAGGATAGTGGTAAGATCATCTTCAGTCTATATTGAAACCAGCCTTGAAGGTTAATAAGGAAAAGAATAGGCACCTCCTCTCATGGAATCCTCCTGAAGATTCAACATTGTAAAGCAGATGGTTTCTTGGGCAGCTGGGCCACCTGCAGAGTCATGTGGCTCAGTACCTTTGTCTCCCTAGTGCCTTCCCATGGCAGAGAGTGCTTTATCATTACTAGCATATCCTCTACTAGTCTGTGAGCTCCTAGAAGAGATACTGTGTCCAGGACATTGCTGCCACATAGCAGATTTTCTGCAAAACTCCATGTATGAAATGAGTCCAGTAAAGTGGGTGCTTATCAAAGACAAAAATGAAGAATAAATAGTGACAAATCCTTTGTGGCCCCTATCTCTGGCTCAGAGCAGAAAGGAAAGGGAGTAACTGGGAAGAAATGCTAGTGAGATGACAAGAAATGAGGGCTAGAAATAAACATTTCAGAAAGCCGCCCATTTCTCTTCCTGAATGAAAAGAAGAGAAACAGTCCATGCACATAAAGTTTTAAAGCAGTTGCTTGTTTTTACTTTCCAGATTGATCTTAGAGCTGCATAAGAAAACTGATTTGTTTTTATAAAACTAATTGAAGTAGGTATTGGTAGAATTGTTAGGAAATGAACTTTCTCCTATTCAAAACATTAATCATGTGCTTTCAGGGAATATATTTGCCACTGAAAACAACAGATATGTAAATATCTGAACCAAAAGAATAAATGTTTCTGAGACATTTTAATACAAATGATTACTTTTATAGAGTAGCCATATGTGTATTTGATTTTTAGCTATTTTAAGAATGAAATGAAGGTTTACAAGATGAACATATAAATCAAAACTACATTGAGATTCCATCTCATGCCAGTCAGAATGACTGTAATGAAGAAAGGAAAAAAATGTGGGCAAGGATATGGGGAAAAGAAACCCTTATACACTGTCTGTAGGAACATAAGTTAGTGCAGCCACTATAGAATCAGTATAGAGGTTCCTCAGAAAACTAAAAATAGGATGACCATATGATCCTGCTATACCACTCCTGGGCATATGCCCGAGGAATGTAAGTCAGCATGCAGTAGAGATAACCTGCACATCCATGTCTGCTGCAACACTATTCATAATAGCCTGTCAATGGATGAATGGGTAAAGACGATGTGAGATGCATATATATACACAGCAGCCAAAAAGAAAAGTGAAATTATGTCATTTGCAGAAAATGGAGGGAACTGGAGATCATTGTGTTAAGCAAAACAAGCCAGACTCAGACAAGCATCACGTTTTCGCTCACATGTGGATCTAGATTAAAAAACAACAACAACAAAGAAAGTACAAGGGGAAGAAAGTCTGAGGGAGGGAAGTGAATATGATCAGAGTATATTATATATATGAAAATGATATAACAAACCCCATTTTATGCAAAAATAAAAATAGATGAATGTATGGTTTCACTCAGAGATGGGAGAGATTTTTAAATGTAGTTTGTGAGCATTTGTCGTCTTCTCATTGTCAGAAAGTTAAAGGTAATCTCTTGCTCTAATTGCCTAATAAATTGATCCTACAAAAGAAACAATTGTTTTTAAAAACTGGCTTATCGTGACTACTCTCTTGAATTCAAATGTGTAATTGGTGATCATTCCACCAGTAGAAAATCTGAGAAAATGCTGTTAGCAAATGTAAAAAGAACTAGTTGGTGTAAGATGTTAAGTCAAAGCCAAGGGAGTTGGTAGGAAAGTGACTGAAAGGACCTTAACACCCTTCCTTCCTAGAGAAAGTTCCCAGGGGAAACTGTTGGGCAGCTTTTTTTGCTGCTTCTGAGTGTGACTTTGTTTCTAAGAGTGGGAACAAATGATCTGGCTTCTCTATCTTTGTGATTATCAGGAAATGTTAGTACCACAGCAGTAGCTCCTCCCCTCCAGAAAGGGGCCAGAGAGTAATTAAGGCTCTGAAGTTAACCCCAGGGAAGATGAGGAAGTCAGACTAGAAACCAGCAGGAATGGCTGTTCAGCCAAGCCACAAAGGAAATGTCCACTTGAAATGACTGGGGGTATCAGAAGCAAGTTAGAGCAGGATAAGCAAAAAGTGTGTGTGCGGATTTGATCTCAACTTGAAAGAACATGCATTTATTAGCATCTCATGGTCTCACTTCTTCATTGTGAGGAGCAGATTTGCTTAAATTGAGAGAGGTTACACAAGTGAAAAACCAAACTAAAGAAGAATAAACCAAGCAGGAAGCAGACCCATAAATGTGCCATTTATTATTTCCAGTCTAGCTTTCTTAAGTATAGCAAGTACTCAGATGTGTGTAGATTTGAGTGCATAGTCCTGTAAATCTGGAGGTTTTTTCACTGGGTTTGTTGGGTTTTGTTTTGTTTTTTTCTGTTTTTCTCATTTTTTTTCATACCTGGTTTGATAATTAATTTTAGACTAGAGCCTTACCAAACCATTTGATGTAGCTTTCATCGAAGTTGCTCCTCTTTTGTAATCATATCTCCTTATTTTATGTAAAAATGAATTAAATGTAACCAATTCAACTAGACTAAGAAGTTGGGGGAACGTCCCATAATTGGAGCCTTGAATTAAACTGACAAAAAACAAACAGGAGAAAAAGGCATAAATGTTTAATTGATATTTTTCATTTTATGTGCAAAGAGGGTGTTAAACCTCAGAACTGGGATATTGGAGTGGCTCAAATGGTAGAGCACCTGCCTGGCAAGTGTGAAGCCCTGAGTTCAAACCCCAGTACTGAGCAGGGTGGGAAGAGCTGGCTGGGCACCAGTGGCTCATGCCTGTAAAATCCTACCTACTCGGGAAGCAGAGATCAGGAGAATTGCAAAGGCAAAACCCTATCTTGAAAACATCCAACACAAAAAAGACTGGCCAAGTGGTTCAAGAGGTAGACTGACTGCCTAGCAAGTGTGAGGCCCTGAGTTCAAATTCCCATACACTACCCCCCCCCACACACACACCCCAAAAAAAAAACCCAAAAACTTCAGAGGTGATGTACCATTTTAACAAAGGACAGTAAATTGTGGAGAAATGACTAGACAAAGGAAACGAAGGTTTCTGCTTCTAGGTGAATTGTAGGAAGGTCAGTATGTGTGCAAACTAATGGAAGATAAGCTCAATTTGGGAAGAGGGTTTGTTTAAAACTGCAGACTCACATCAGTTCCGTCTCTCGAGTAATAAGGGTTATTTTCCTGGTACTGAAAGGAGGGCAGATAACTTGTTCTTCTTTCTGTTGTTATCCTGTTTCCTTTAACCCAATTTAATCCTTATGCCACAGCAGCATATTGGGGCTGGCATATTCTGATCCCTTTCAGACATTTAGAGAATATACACCAGTGCAGATGAAGTGCCAGTCCTGACTGCTGACCGCCTTACTTTTCATGGGGAAGCCAGCTTCTCAGAGAGTGCTGGCCCTCCCTGCCCCTTGAGTGG